AGAAACTTCATTTGCTTGCTCCTTTATAATTATCAGTGTTTTTGAATGACATTGCCATTATTTTCTGCATATTTTCTATATTTCATTATGCATCAGTCACACTCTGCTCTAAGATAACCTGTCTGGGTTGTTCTCAGATCAGGTTCTTGTCTATGTTGTATGATTTGTCCTTGTTAGTGAGAAGAGGTTTACTGCAGAATTCGTAGTTTCATAGGAATGTGACAGGGTAGACAATATAAAAGTTGCTGCTGTGGCTTTTTTCTAATGACACAGAGTCAAATCTGTGACAAGAACATGTAAAGAAGACGGATCAGGATAAATGCATGCTGGTGCAAGGAATCTTATTTTTGAACCGTAATAGTAATGTAATCATTCTTAACAGTGTTTATGCAAAGCACCTAAGCTATTTTTGTCATTCTTGACTTCGAGGCTTATTTAGTCTAGGGTGATTAAATGTGTTACATTTCTTGAGCTGGGCAGAATGATGACAGGTGTTTACATGATGGGTTGTAAGGCATTTCAGTGTACCTCCCACTTGAGCAGACTGTTTGCCAAACAAATACGTTTTTCCATCAAACAAAAGGGAACCAGAATGGAAGGGAAAAGGTCTCGGTTTGCAACTCTGGCTTCATGTTTTCAGGATGAACTGCAGCTGATCGGAACCCAGCAATACTTGTCTTGTGGGAATAAAAAAGCTCCCTAGAAAGAGATGTGTTAGAAGAATTTCATTTTGTCGGTGGTATCCATTGCAAGCATCGTAATAATTTTATTGAGATTTTATGTAGTTTTATGTTAATTACAGCTGACGTAAATCACTGGGCATCATAATACAGGAGTATAATATAATTATATGTACATTGTTATGTGAAGCAGCCTGGAGCAGGTTCTATATGGAGCTTGCATATTTACTTGTGCCCTAATAGTTATTTGCCAGATATTGACGTTTCCACACATATTGCAAAGGAGCTTGGGTAGCTCAGACGGCAAGGGCATAGAGCTCCTGACTGGAAAGTCCCGGGTTCAATCCCAGGTAGGGGCAAGCGATGGAGCTCTAATTCTTTCCAGATGGCTCCCATGTCCACTCAGCCTGCTTTCCAAGTGAGTACTGGGGGTTAATCCTTCTGGGGGGTAATAGGCCGGCCGGAGCATGATGCTGACCACATCACCTCCACCTCCAGTGTTGGATGGTCCCTCACCAAGTCCTTACCCCCCATTCCCCCATGGGGACCTATGTACATACCCATAGTGCAAAAGCACTAGTGCAAAAGTTAGTTGCCATCTTTAAATTGCTCCTGCATGTGTGTTCTGCCTGGGTGTATCCTGCCTTCTGCTCTTTGCTTGCCAAAAAGGCTAACAGTGACTGTATCTGGCCAACAATGACTGTATCCGATTAAGTGGTTATAGAAAATGGATGAATGGATTGTGTGAAGTGTAAAACAATTGATGTAATTGGAAGACTAGGTGTTTGATACGATTCAGTTGTGAATCAAATTGGGCAAACTGAGTAAGGGCTGTGCATGCTCTTCTCCAATATGCTCATCATCTCTCTAATCACAACTTTACGTGCTGCAAACTGCTACAGGAGTGCATGGAATGGGTCAATTGGCATTGAACTGATGGGTAATGCCATCATCTAACACAACCAACCCAAGTCTGGAGTTTACTGGTCTAAATCCAGACTATGCTGCTGCTGACTTTAGTTAGGTTCTAACCTAAGATAATTCCCAATTTCATGAGCACTGGTCTCCTCAGTGGGTTGAGGTCAGCTGGAGAAGCACATGATGGATCATCTTGGGACAGCTGATTGTGCTGTGTGGACACCATAGAATGTGGGGGTTAGAGAAGCAAGTTTTTGCGATGTAGGCGCATTTTAATATTACCTTCCAGGAGAGTGCTGGAATTAATGCCATGAACTGGAAGGAATAGCATGTGGTGTTTCTCACAGTGATGGCTATAGAACAGAAAGAAATGTGTGTTGTTTTAGATTCTTTGACTGCAGATTTAATTGATGGCTTGAACCCTCCGTTGTCAGCTGTACCGTTGTTTGTCCGCACTGCTGACGCTGCTGCTCTGTGCTTGAGCAGCGTGCTTGACTCTACTTTAGCCATTCTAAACCACACAGCCGCATAAATGGTTACCAGCATTGCAGTGGTAAAAAAAAGTGTTACAGAATAGTTTCTAAAGTGCTAAACAGAACTTTAAAACTGTTTCGTATCTGTTTACTTTAAACGTTTGCATTGTTTTAGAATTGCTGATAAGGTTTGCTGTAGTCATCTGATTGGGAAGAGCCAACTGTGTTTTTCCTATCTCAGCTAGCGGCTATGAAACCTGCGTCCTCACACAGGGGTACATGAGAAAGTATAGGCAGATGTCTTTAACCCTCTCACCTTTAAGCCACTCATTTGTTTGCACTTAACAGGCATTGCAGCCAGAGGTCAGCATTGAAAGAGAAGCATATTAAGGAGCACTGAAGGGTAACAAAGCCTAGGAACCTGCAGGGGTTGCCGTGTCACTGATAGCCAAGAGATCCCTTTGTACACTGCACCCCCCCTACACTCAGTAACGCTCAGCCAGTTATATGCCGTGAGTTGGGGAATCCCAGTCACAGTCGGCTAATAACATGACACAGGCTCATGATCATGGAGTTCATGATCTGTGCATTGTATGAGTGATAGAAAGCAATGTATAAAAAGAGCAATGAAAAATGCTGCCAAGAGCACGCGGGGTAAAATATCATTCAAAAACAGGCTCAATCTAAAGTGGGGGCAGTTCTGTCACTATTGAGCAAGTCTGATTGTTCACAGCATTTTGGGTGCAAACGCAGCACTTCGGAAAGGAGTAGCAGCCTGCGTTTATCCCTTGACGAGACCAACTGTAACTACACACACCCCTTTCCCCCCTGGACACCTGCCCTTTACCAGCTATAAATCACTCTACTATCTCACTTCATGGAAACCTCTGAATGCATTCTCTATTTGGTGCTCCTCCATAGACTGATGGAGTTCAGCCCACTGCAGGCCAGCCACTCAGTCCACACGGCCTTTTGAAAGCTGCTCAATGCTTTTAAAGATAACACAGTGCAGCACTCGTTTTTTTAAAAGTGTTTACTATACACATTTGTGTATTATATAAGAGTGTGTGGTTCAGCTCTTGGATGTTTTATTTTGTTTCCTTGGTCATGCTGAGGGTGGTAGAATGTAGAAGGCTCTCACTCTTTCTCTGTGTCCAGTTATTACCCAGAAAGATCCCTTCAGAAGTAAAAACACATTACCTTCCTGATCTTAACATATGCTTTCCAAGCGAAACAGGAAAAGGGGATTTCGGAGCCCCTAGCAAAATAAGTTTTGCAGAAAAGTACCATTTCTGATTTTTAAGTTCCCCACTGGTGAGGTGCATTTCAAGAAAATAGACTGAATGTTCATGTAACCTTTGGTCTGTTGGTACAAGACCACACTGTTAGAGGTTGATTGTTAGCAGATGCCTCACTGTAGCTCTCTGAAGGCAGAGAGAAGATCCCTGTTAGTGAATGTGCTGAAGAAGAGGCCTCATATTTACATAACTACGTCAAGGGCAGATTTGACCATTTTGTTTGCATGAGATTAAAAATGTTTCCATCCTGATAGCTTTCAATCCACATGTGAAATGAATTGCCTGCTGTTATTGGTTGTACACTTGATGTACGTTTAAATTATTTTTTAGACTGGAAAGTCTTTGCACCAATGGTGTGAAGCTACAATCTGTGTTATTATAACTGATTACATTTATGTCAGAATCCAACAGGTCCAACAGCTTTGATGATGTTGTTAAACATCTATTTAGAGTTCAATGCACAGTGAAATAAATATAACGGGAATAATTTGTCACGATATGACTATGAAGTACGTACTGTATAACACTCTACTTCTGGGGGAGATATTTTTGGTATATTTTGGAGAAACAGAGGTGCACATTATAATACAAATATTGTATATGCAACATATATTAATGAAAGCCTAAACAACATAAACATTTTAGAATATATATCATAAAAAAGGTTTTGTTGTCTCCATAAAAAGACATTGCATGAACTACTGCTAAAGTTATGATGTGATTTTTATAGTTACTCAAATTCATTTGTCTTTTGTTGTTATTCTTTGATTATGTTTGATGCTGAGCCCATCAGTTAGTGAGAAGGTTTATAGGTAAAATCAATCCATTGTTAAAGAACGTCACACATGATGTGTAGCTGTACAATCAGACACTGTCTACTACAGCAAAACATATAATATGAGCCATCACATTATCAGAAAAAAACATGATTTGTGTTGGCAATTATTGTATTTCCTCGCTATATGTAAAGAATGTCTAGAATAGTTAATTAAAATAAAGTTTGTTCTGCACAACATGTTTCTTCTTTTTAAAGTCTGAGTTTAACATTCAGACCTTAATGATAGGCAAACGTAATAGAGTGGTCCAGTACTGTGGTGATACTATTGCAAAAATCATCACCATATTATCCAAAAGATGTTGGAATCTTCCTGAAGACAGGAAAAAAAAAACTAAGAATCAAATCTGTGCAAGAGTGTCACTGCAGTCTCATAGAAGCATTTTCAGACTTTATTGTTTTAAAAATATAAATGATATTAACACGACTGCTATAGTAAAAAAAAATTGGAAAAGAAGCAGGTCATATCTGACTAGAAAGTGAGTTACTATAATCTTTAAATGAAGCAGAAACACAAGAAAAGAAAATCGGAGACTTAAATGCTCAGCTCAATTACCCTCCCCATGAGCTTTTCCAACATAGTTCTCTCAGCCAGCAAGGATAATAACTGCTGAATTGATCATTACAGGGGAATAGCAGTTTCAGATACAATCATGAACCCTGGATGAAGTGAAGCCCAGTGCCGAGAAATTACTAAGGGACTAGACTTGCTTGATAGCAGTTAAGCTGACAAAATCGTCAAAAACGCAATTTTCCTGTCTTGTTCACTAACACTTGTGTTTTATTTTGGATGCAGGTCTATACGACAAATGCTTCTATGCCTCCAGTGACCGAGGATGGCTCCTTGGAATAAAAGCCATCAGAGAGCAGGGGAACAGAGATCCACGTTTCTTCTTTTCTATGAAGACAGATCGAGCCCACAAGGTGACTTCCATAACCTCTAACCAGAGATACATGCCAAACCAGTGGACTCACGTCGCAGTGACTTTCAATGGCCTGCACATGAAGCTCTTTGTCAATGGGGCCCAAGTGGCTGTGAGTCGTGAACAGTCTGGGGAAATCTTCAGCCCCCTGACAAAGAAGTGCAAAGTGCTCATGATCGGGGGCAATGCCTTAAACCATAACTATCGGGGCTATGTGGAGCACTTCATCTTGTGGAAGAGGGCTCGCACCCAGCAGGAGATTATGCATGACATGAAGAGTCATAGCCGAGAGCAACTGGATGACCTGTCACACCTGGTTATTCACGAAAACTTTGAGAACGCATCGAGAAAGTGGCTGACTGTCAAGGATGGCTCTTTCCCACAGGCAGAAGTGAGCCGAGTCAGCGGAGGAATGCTGGACACTGTCCTCGAGCCCCCTGTCTGTGGCCAGACCGTCTGCGACAATGTGGATGTCATCACCAGCTACAACAAATACTGGACCTTCCGGAAGAGGAAGGTAGTCCGTTACCGTGTGGTGAACGTCTATGATGATGAACACAGAAAGCCCACTGTCAGTGAAGAGCAGATCCGTCTGCAGCACCGGCGCCTGAATGACGCCTTCAACGTGTACAATATCAGCTGGGAGCTCTCCGTCCTCAATGTCAGGAACTCCTCCCTGAGGCATCGCCTCATTTTGGCCAACTGCGACATCAGCAAAGTTGGCGATGAGGAATGTGACCCAGAATGTGACCATACCCTGACTGGGCTGGATGCTGGTGATTGCAAGAAGCAGAAGACCCATTGTCCAGAGCATAGGCAGGGAAATGGGGTTTGCAATCCAGAGTGCAACGTGGATAGTCATAACTACGACAATGGAGATTGCTGCAACCCCAACATCACGGATGTCACCAAGACATGCTTTGATCCTACATCACCACTCAGGTAAATTGTCAAAGAGTTTGTATTGATTGTGTTGACTTTTGTTGATGTCTGTATTTGTCTGGTTACAGACCAGACCCAGACTTTTTGTATGTGGAATATGGCATGGGTGTAGCAAGATGAGAAACTAGAAATAATTATTGTAACAGTAGAGCTGAAACAATTGATTATTCTTATATTTACAAGTTTAAAAGCCCTGAAACTAAGCAGAGCAGATTAAGTGAATTACAGAGAATTACCCTAACAGGGATTTACTAAAGAGTATGCACTAGTTTCAGAATGTGGTGGATGGCTCTCTGAACTAGGGGCACCATTAAAGGCTGACAATGACAATTGCTTGACTTTAATTGTATAATTGTAATTGAATGGAATGTGGTTCGTAAGGGGTTGGTGTATGTAAGGTGTTTTTTAGGTTCAATAAATGCTGGTAGAATATAGAAGTGTTGGAAATATTAAGGTCTGTAAAGCAGAGTCAAGCAGACCAAATGCGTGCTGATAGTGGTAACCCTACAAATTACAAAGTTTGTGTTGAATTTATACAAAGTACTGTCAAGGTACTGTATGAGGGAAGAATGGAACAGTGGGTAGGTCTCTGGTCTAACTGGAAGGATGTGGTTACAAGTCTCTGCTGCAGATTTGCTGTTCTACTGTACACTGAATAAGATTCTTCACCCCAATTGCTCCTGTCCACCCTACTGTATAAATGGGAACCAGTATTGCTTAGGGTAATTCTTGCAATGGACTGGCATTTTTCCTGGACATCATCTCTGTCATCTACTTGACCGGCCAGAAAACCAGGATAAGTTTTTTTTCTTCATCTTTGTGCATCACCCCGAATGTTAAAACATCTCATGCCTGAAAAAAGGGAAAGGGAAACCAGGTTTATATGGTATTCTGCAAGAAAATCCCATTAAACTATTTTATGGAATACCACCTGATAAACTGTGTAAAAAAATAGAATAATTTCTGGCAACACCCATATGTTTCCAGGATTTGATTGCAACTGGTACTTCTACAAGAAATGACTGTTGCATTTTTCTTTGGGATGTAACTCTTAGACTTTCCTGTTGGTTCATTTAGTTATTGCTTATTCTGTTATTGATTTTGTTTGCATGACATACTGATCATTGAAAAATCACCTAGCACTCAGCAGCTCCAAACTTTTTTTCTCCACGCAAACATTTCTTGGCACAATATCCTGTGCATGATGCTGTAGTATGTTTGCCCATTGATAAAGATCAAGGTTTGACTTGATTTTCTGATTGATTAATACACCTGACTAATCATTAAATTGGACTGGTTAGATAGTCCAACAGGGACTGGTGTCTGTTTTGAAAACACTAAGACTATAAGACTCTTAAGAATGATAATTTCCTATGGAATATGGACCAGCTTTCTATACCTCTTTTCAACATGTTAGTTTTGTCAAATAATTTCTGACAGAACATTAAACTTTATAGGAATGGAACCAAGAATTGCATGGTTACAACTGAGTGTAGTCATTCATAATTCAAGATAAAAGCCTCCTAATGTCCTTTGAATGATGTAACAAATACAGTATCAGCCAGTATTTTAAAATTGATTTAGTATTTCTAGAAATATGTTAAATTGCTCTTTTCTACAGTATATTTAAAAGTTGAATTCCACTTTCTGACTCTGTCTACAAAGCTCAGTTTAGATTTACTCAAGTGCAAAAGAAGAAAAACAGTTTAGAATCAGGATATCAGAACATTAACATAGAATTGTAAAAAGTGTGGTATTATTTTTTACTGATGATATTCCAAAATGCACTTTATTTAGTGCTATTTGTGAAGATTAAGGACTATATTGTCTGTAAAATCCTGTTTTACAAGCTAAGCAAGTCTATACTTCTTGATTTTAAGCCTATAATAGATCCAGTTATCTGGCACTGACCGAGAGTTGAGTTCCACCTCTGAGCCTGTGTGATTTCTTGTTTGATGCCTTTGGATTGCATCCTTTGGATGAAGGCTTCACTCTGGCATTCGTACAAGCGTATTCAAAACCCACAGCGCCAAAGCAGAAACAAACTACTCTCTTGGTAGCTGAAAGGGGGGAAAAAGAGAGATCTTTCCCTGCAAATTTCTTAAATATTTTTTCCTTTTTTAGATTTATTTCGTGCTTATAAAAGTGGATTGATAGAAAGTGAGTGAGAATGGAAACCTGGAGCCCCCAGACAGCTGAGGAAGGCAATTAAAGTTCAGCACAGGGTTTGCAATGCGATGGCTTAGTGTGAGCACATTGTAAAGTGCTTTGACAAAGGGAGCTATCCAAAAAATATTCTGGGGGAGTAAAATGTGCCATGCACTTTTCTGCTTCTGTCCTGTGTCTTTTCTGCAAACTCATCTCTTTAAAAATTGAAAAAGAATGTCTTTGTGTCATTGGCAAACATGGAGCAAGCAGCTGGAAATAAAGGAATCCTCTCTGCAGAAATGTAGGGAAGGATTGTTTTTTTTATCTTTACTATTTACGAATGACCATAAAATGAGAAGACACTAAACTTGATTAAACAGGATTCCAGTCTGGGGGATGGGCACGTGTCTATCCAGGAACAATGCATCACACCATCAAAGTTTGAGTGTAGAATTTTGTTTGTGTGCTCTAGTGACCCAACTTTCACTACAGTAGGTTTCGATGTATTGCCCATAATAACATCTAAGAAAATGAACAAACACACCTAGTGTAGGTTAATAACAACAGCCAGAAGAGATCTATGCAAACGAATGAATGAATAAAAAGATACAATTAATTGGTTCACAAATGCTATGTACACCTTTTCAATCATCTTTTGTTACCAATCACAGTTTGTTTTTCAGTGTTTAGATTAAATCAGTTCCTGCAGGTTTTCTGTGTGTTTACAATTCCCTCTCATGACGCAACATGAAAAGTCCAGCTAGAGAAATAGATCATGCTATATCCAGGTCCTCAAAGAAAACTGCTTAACACTTCTTTCAGGAATTTTCAATTCCACGTTAAAAAGGGAACCTATAATAGGTCATAAAAGATAATTATTCTAGCATTGTTCAAAAGCACCAGAATTCTGTGATGATAATATTGCAATGATAATACACATGCATAGAAGTAAGGAGACCCACCAAGGTTCTGTTGGAAATTTTTTTTTATGCTGTTACTTTGGTCAAAATGTCCGTACAAGTGATGTTTTACATTTCTCTTCACCACAGACTTGCTCTCTGTTTTCTGGTCTCCTATTAGACTGTCAGTCAAGTCTGGCTTTATGGTTACTCTTCACAGTGATGTGTTGACTTAATATGCCCTACATTAGACATTTCCAGCCTTTGCCCTTGGTGTCTGCTGAAATCTAACAAGCTTTCTATAACTGGACAAATGTATTTCTTCTACATACCCTCAGGCTGTTGATGATCTGAAATGAAGCCACTTCACTATATCTGAAAGTGGCTGTAGTCTCATGTTCTAAGGAAGTGTTGCCTATTCCTGTCTTTTGCAAGAGGAACCCACAGAAAGAAGGTTAACAATTGTACTTTAGAATTAAGTAACAGAGGATAGCACAAACAAGCTCAGTAGAGTTTATATCCACTTATCCAGGCCTGGCAGAAGTGTGATACTCTGTTCAGTACAATTTGAACACTAGATTGGCACATTTTCTGCAGCACAAGTTCAATAAAAAAAAGAGAAAATGTATTTATGAAAGATGCGTTTGTAGAAGCTAGAGGGTCAACACATCACATGGCCATGTATTGTATGGAAATCTTTGTGAGCGTGTGTGGTCTGTCCTTGACTGACCCATGCAGTAGCATTCAGTAAACCTCCTTGCTGGGACTGTTTTGAGATTGTACAGCAGGAATGGACTGCACCTGCCCTGACTGGGATTGTGGTCTCATCCACAAAATGTGTGAGTGGATTTGAGGTCATGTGGAAGGTTAGCAAATTGTGAACTACTAATTTCTGTATTACATCATTGATAGCTTTGCAAAGTAACTGGTCCTTTCCAGCATTGGACATCTGTTTATACTTACCCACAGTGCAAGTCTTGACATCTTCTACAGCCACAGTAAGTAATTGTATTCAAGTAGTTTGTGTCTAAAAAACAAAAAATATGAATAATATAGCAACACTATGATCATTCAATTAAACTGACATTGAGCTCTTAGCTGTTGAAAGTCTGTAATGATGATCACTGCCGAGATGTTTGCTAGCTGTAAAATATGCCTTTGCAGCCTCCAGCCCTGAATGTAAGTAAACAGTGTATAACTGCAGGTACTTTGGAAGGGTAGTCTAAGGGGAGACCGAAGGAGAGGATATCCATAATTAAATGAAAGACAGATCTTTAAATTGCTGAGTTTTGTTCTCCAATACATGCTGTGCTTCATGTAAAGTGATACTGACAAGCGCATGAGAGGAGACTTCATTATTTTGCAGAGATTCTCTAGCTATTCAAGGAAATATAGTAGATTGATGGATAATAATCTTATCTGGGTGGTGCTTTGGGATATGTTATTGCTTCTGTTGTCTTACTGTTGTATTTGGAAACATGGTGACCAGACTCTTACTGTGCATGTTAGCGTTGCTGTTTTTGACAATACTGTGAAATTACTTCCGATGGATTTGTGTAATCAGGTGAACCTTCATGAAAGGTTTCCCGTTTCAGCAAAAACAAGGAGGAAACAATTCTTCTTTAGAAAAGCAAAGTGCAGCAACATAGTGCCCCCTGCAGGGCTGTAGCAAGAATGTACCCATGTGATACCAGAAAACCAATAGAGGAATGTGATCATTCTAATAGGATAGGAACAGCAGTAACAGCTTTTCTTATGATGGGTTTATATGTTATCGTGATTTGCTACTTATTTCTCTACTGACAACTTGTATGCATTTCTGTTAAAATGTCATATACTGTAGCTGCTTGTGTCGTTCTTAGCATTTCGAAGAATAATATTTTCCTTTCTGCACAAATGTGAAATTTGAAATGTGTGTGATTAGTAAATGTAGATGCAAAAGAAATCTGTTCT